AAAGAGGTCTTGGTACTCAGCAACGTAGAATATGTTTGCTGCAAAAAAACAAGATCTTAACGAACCCAGAAGAAACTAATTCACACGCCCTGATTTTCAACCTCAACTTACACATCAAGGATTCAGCCACCTGTTTTTGGACGCCCAATCGATGTTCCCGTGCCTCTAAAGTTTCCCCTTCGTCATCTTCCTCATTCCCACCGCCGCGGTTATTAAAACTTTTCCTCCATACCTCCTCTTTAGAGGGGTTGAACATCTCCTGGAGACAAAGAAGAAATTGTCGACAGGCGGAAACAGCAAGAGCTAACCGCCTGCTCCACTGGAGAGCACTTTGGTTTCGCGCTCCTCCTCGCCTATCGCTGAGAAGGGCTTCACGATAGCCCATGGATAGAGTATAGACCCAGTTGAATACACTGGCATTCAGTGACTCACTAAAGCGATTCAATAAAACACCTTGAGCTCGTGGTATATAAGATTATGCTGTGCTCAAAATCAAGCCATCTCTTCGACTTTACCCCACCCAAGCACCATTCTCCACTCTACTGACGTCAAGATTGCCATCATGCATTGATAAGATTTAGGGCAGCCGAGATTTTGGAGGAAAAATACTACAGAGTAGCCAAACAAAGCGCGAGTAGAAGGGGACATAGACAGCAGAACAAAGCCATGCCAAGGGCATGAAAATTCACCTAACCTGAGGTACTGCGGGCGAAACCTGTAGAGACGACAGAAAGCCATGAAGAATTGCATGGACCAGAGGTAATAGGTTTCGTCATTGGCCTGAGTACTCTGTCGTAGAATAGCATCACGTGCCGCACGCATCAGGAGGTTGTAGCAGTTGCGCAGGAACTGCCAGCAAAACTTCTACAGAGAACTGAGCTTTTAAATGAGAGTTAATGCTTAAAAAGTGAAGCAGAAAAGTGGGTGAGACCTGCAGAAAGAGTTGGACGCAAAGGACTGATCTCCGTCGAAATTCACGTTCAATGAGAGGCTTCCGATTACACGCCTTGCGACGGATTCTCTTTCCCAAGTCCAGATTAACCTGGTCAATCGCACTGGTCTCCACACACGTCAAAAGACTACGACGTAGAGGAACGGTCACATCATGATGATAGATGAGAGGTCGACTCGAGATAGACTGTGTGTTGAGCAATTCAAATGTGCCGCCAAATCGATTATGACTGTGGAAAAAGTAGTGGGAAGGGAGTGAAGTGCCTTTCCACAAGTCCAAACAAACCATACTAGATACAACGTTTCTACCTGACATCCTAGTGGGAACCACAACTTCTACCGAATTTATCGTCGAAAAGATCTGTGCTTCGACACCCATAGTTTGCTTTGAGGGTGGTAACAAGGACCCCATATCCATACTACCCTAATTTTTAATCATCCCGATGAGCTTAAAGAAATGAATGCTTGATACCACAGAAAGAGCTATTAGCCCAAATCACGTGCATCCAATCCAAAATTATTTAGTATGAAAAGTCCCTGTTTTAAAATGATAAAAATATTAAGACATTACAGGATCAAAAGCTGGAATAAGTGAATGCAGGCTAAAATAATTTCCTATGGGTACGCAGAGGCCGAAGCCAACAGATACTCATGAACCCCAGAAGTTCTTTTGCGTAATATGGGAATGCAATCAACAAAACGCAAAAAATACCATATTCACCGCATGCTTAGTCGTACTAGTGATGCGCGTTTTTCCTCTTGTTCTCTCAAACGGCATCTATCGAAAGCCCTGTAAAAGAAATTAGCCACATTCCGGATGGATCTTCGGCACCAAATACAGTCCTACAATAGTGTAATCTTACCGCGCATTAGGGTCGATATCAGTCACAGGAGCGCCAGCAATCGCAAGCTGTTCAGGAGTCTGTAAAAATTATGCAGATGAAGGGATAGTATGGAAACATGATGAAAACGGGGAAGAGAGAGGTACCTGTTCGCGAAGCATAAGAGAAATGATTTCTAGAATGTGGAATGCGAACACATTGAGCTCGTCCTCAGTGTTGGCCAAGAAGAGAAGCAGATCATCCCAACCAGA